GCAGTTAAGTACTGTTCATAAATTATGGTTTATTGCCTGTGAGTGTAATTCATACTTAACTTTTAAAAAGAGGGAAATTTGGGCAAATACACACCAAATAAGGCAAAACAGAGGCAACTTTCTTGTCTATGGAAATAATCACTGATCTTTATTAGACATGTGTTAACTTATCTGCTGCAATGTGTAATCTGAATGCTTTTGTGAGACTCATTTAAAAGTACTAATTTTTAAACAGGTGTTGAAGAATATGGTTTTTCATTTGTCATTAACTTTTGAAAATGCAGGGGAGACAGGATGTCTGCTTTACTTACAGTTCAAGTGAAAAATAGAAATGTTCTTAGAGGTTGGTTAAATAAAACTGCCTGCCATTAATAAAAAAGAGCTCTTAGTAAAGCGGGGGCCTAGGACGGCCCCCGGCCGCGCTGGCTCCGCAGGCAGGTGCGGGCTCCTCGCTGGCCAGCTTAGCTCTGGGGCGGCTTGCGTCTGCCCCTAAGGAGCCTCAGCCGGAACTGCCCCGGCGCTCGGCAGCGAAACCCTCTAACAGGGTTTTCGTAGCCTCGTAGCACCGGATGAGGTGACCCCTAAGCCACCAAATGGACGTTTGTTCGTTTGATCCAGTTTTCTTGGGTGTCTTGATTAAAATGAGTGGCTGACAGCGTAGTTTGTATGGTACTGCTTGGTACTGAGTTTCCCGCTGATAGCCGTGCGCCGCAGGCTTGGTACTGGCAATGCATGTTTTTGCAGCACTGAGGTTGCCAGAATAGTCCGAAGTGCCTAGCGCCTGCAAACGCGTGGGAAAGGGTTGGGATCGGGGCGAGCACGTGAACTGGTTGTTCCCGCCAAAATAACGAGGGGTGGAAGAGTTGCTTAGGTTGATTGCGTTATCTTTTCATTTAAGTCTCAGAGTTAATAACGTACTGAGATGGGTAAAACAGTTTACATCTATTCAGGTTACTGTTTCAGGGTTTTGGAAAGATGCTTCTGGGTTAATTTAGTCTTGGTTTGTGTGTGTGTGTTTTTTTTTTTTTAGAGTTTTTTTTTTCCCTGTATGAAATCAGTGCAGTTAAGTACTGTTCATAAATTATGGTTTATTGCCTGTGAGTGTAATTCATACTTAACTTTTAAAAAGAGGGAAATTTGGGCAAATACACACCAAATAAGGCAAAACAGAGGCAACTTTCTTGTCTATGGAAATAATCACTGATCTTTATTAGACATGTGTTAACAACTTATCTGCTGCAATGTGTAATCTGAATGCTTTTGTGAGACTCATTTAAAAGTATTAATTTTTAAACAGGTGTTGAAGAATATGGTTTTTCATTTGTCATTAACTTTTGAAAATGCAGGGGAGACAGGATGTCTGCTTTACTTACAGTTCAAGTGAAAAATAGAAATGTTCTTAGAGGTTGGTTAAATAAAACTGCCTGCCATTAATAAAAAAGAGCTCTTAGTAAAAATAGGTGCATGGCTTTGTTCAGTTACTCATGTGGAATTTTATGTTAGAACAAAAAGTTGTTTCTGATTCTGTTTCTGAAGCACTGTTGCTTTCATGTGAGTTAGTAGATAATCACTCAGAGTTGTCCATGTGATGAGAGCATAATGAATGCACAACTGGATAGCTGGAGTGCTACTTTCATGGGTAACTTTCCCCAGGAGTTTTCCATTCAAAACGAGGAATCCTTTTGCTACTGCTGTTCAGCACCTTGTGGCAAGACCTCTCACCAAACATGAGTTTTCAAGCGCTCTTGAGTTTTGATGTATGTTCCTGCTGGTTCCTACCTCTCGTCTGGGAGCTGCCAGTCACTGAATCTCCTGCTAGGTCTAGGAATCCTGTGATTCAAGTGTAGCTTATTTTGCATAAGCAGCAGTAACATTATGGTGGGCTGCTTTTCCTCTTATTCCCCCTAGATGATGCTGTAATAGAGGCTTCTTCCAGCTATCCTGCTGGCTTAGCAGCAAACAGTTGCAATAATGGATTTGTAGTAAAATCTGGTAAAAATAAAGAAGTGATTGGGTTTTGGTATGGGAGGGATAAGAGCACCTCTGAAGACTAAATCATTGAAGTTCCTCTCCTTTGTTGTTTTCTCATTCTTGCTGAAACATGTGTATGTCTATATATTTTCAACTCTGGCCTGTTTCTCGCATCTGTTTCACATCTGGTCTTTACACACATGCATACTTAGCCTCTCATTCACTGTGGAAGGTATTGTTTTTTCTCTCCTGTCACTAGGATTGCTGGACAGGAGGAGTGTAGGATATACTGGCAGACACCTCTGAAATACTGTATCTTATGCATTCATTGTGAGATTTCCACATTTCACTTAGTTCCATAGCTTTTTCCTTTTTATACCCTCCCTCTTGGCCATCAAGAGCAGTCTGGTCTTCAGTTCTCCAAAAATGATGTCTTTGTGTCAGTTGACTGAAGATGATAACTTGCGTTTATTTTCCTTGTCCAATATCACACATTGTTTAGGGGCAGTGTGATACATGTTCTGTGGAACTGTTGGTAGCAGTTCAAAAACAAATCGGCATCAGTTCAAGCTGAGGGCAATGGTTATGTTTCCACCAGCTAGGAATTGCTCTCTTCATGAGGCAAGGGAGGGATGTTTTACCTCTATTCATTTGTTCTAGGGTGGCTGAACGAATGATTCGATACTTAAGAGTTTTAAGGGAAGGAATATGCACTGCTAGAGTAAGGTTTAAGGGGAGAGGAGTTGAAAGAGAAGAAAGAATGAGAGGAGTGTGGGACAGAGTCTGAAAGAGTATTATGGTAAAATAGAGTCAGTAAGGAATGGATAAGCCGTTGAAAAGAAAAATTAAGGAAGATGAGCTATGTTAGTAAGAAAATAATACTAGAAAATGATTTAAATAAAGTAGACAAAAACTCAGAACACAATCTGAAAAGAAATCGGAAATTGGAAGTGGGGACAGTGTGAGACAAAAATAAACAGCTATTATTAATAATAATTTTTTTCCTGAATGTTGATTCCTAGAAGGAACAGAGATGCATAAGGCTGCTGTGTGTATATAGGTTTTAAATCAACTTTCTTGCCCCATGCTTCTTGAGCTAAATATGTTTTTCATTAAAATAAATCGGTGGTACTAGTATGGATTGCAAAAAAAAAAAAATTATAATCGTATTTCTACTCTTGCTGCGCGCAGGTTGGCATAATGTTAAAATACATGGCAATGTTGATTTGAACTGGAACCATTCTGATTTGCTACTGTTGCAGAAACTTTGGGCCTCTGGAAGTAAATCTTGGAGCTATTCACAGGAAAGGAGGTCCTGAAAAACAGACATGCAGAAGGAGAAAAGCAGTTGCAGTTCTGTCTTTCTGCCATCCCCTGCAACTGGCGACTAGAGTAGGGTACGTGGAACACCTTCCCTTTGCCTTCTCCTGCTGCCATCAGATGTTGAAAATGCAGGTGCCCAACCTAGTGTGGGAGTTTGTTGGAATTGATACACAGGCTGTGATAGCTGAGTGATGCCACTTCCTTCAGGATATTTGAGGATACTATTTTTTTTTAAACAGTGTGCTAATCCTGGATCTTGTTGTTATACTTAGCCTCAAAATCTGTAGAAATGTTTACTAATTGTTGCCACTGTTTAATGCTGTAAATGGGAAACTTATTTCAGTTGTCCTGTGTAGATTGGCCTGCATGAATATTTCTTCATAAATTAATATGAAATTTCAGTCTTGATAAGTTCCTCTTCAGTAAGGAGAGGTGGAATGGAAAGACGTTAGCTTCATATAATAGAACTATTTCCTTTGTTTCAAAATATTATCTAAATTTTTTTTATTAGATAGCTGTATAGTTTCCCCCCCACACCATAAAACTAGACTGTTCTCAGTGAGTAGTTCTCTATGCTGAACAGGTTTTTTTTTTTAATAATAGTTATTACATTTCCTTCATTTAGCTAACGTTTCTTTTCGTTTTATCTGTCTTAAGTTTTTTGCTAGTAGGGATAGCTACTTGAGGGGTGAGTGTTGCTGTGCTTAGAGAATGGCCTTGGCATTCTAGAAGGGAATGAGAGAAATGAATTCTCAGTAGGTTGGTGAAGCTGGTATGTGAATAAAAATTTGTGGCTTTAGGACTATATCCTTATGCGTTATGCGCATTGACTCTTAGCTTTAGTTTTTTGTTTTTATAACTGTGATACTATGCTTTGGCATCCCTTTCTGAAAGCTTTCTTCTGTAGGATTTTATTCAAATAACTGTCTTTGGCAGGGTTTTCTCTATGAGTTCCCGCATTATCCTGGTGAGTAAAAAGTTTCAGTTAGAGCTGGCTGTCGTTACTTGTGCTTTGTGACCTGTCTGCTACTATATCATAAATATTTTTGTTTTCTTTTTCTATTTACCTGTAGTCATTTAGCAATAGCTTGGCAGCACAGCTTATGTGGTGAGTTGATGACACTGAACAATACAAGGAAGATTCTCTTTCTTGCCTTGCCCTTGCAGTTTAATTGCATCTTTGTTTATCTCCAAATTGGTCCCCTAAAATCCCTTTATAGTTAAAATACAGTATTTTATATATATTTTTTTCACTGCTGTCTTGATTGCAGTTTGTTAGTACCCGATGAACTTTTTTTGTCTTAAAAGAGGGGGTTTGTAAGACCAAGATTCAAAAATGTATTGCTATTTGGAAAAGCATATAAGCGTTTGCTTTAAAACTTTAAAACAAATGTCTGAATTTACTCAGGTCTAATGGAAAATCTACTGTGAGAGTTGGTACTCTGGTTGTCTTACTAGACATGTCAAGGAACAAGGCCTTGCTGAAATTACGTTATCCTCTGATTGCCAAATTAATGGCCGAAACTTTATGAATCGAGCGTGATCTTCTTAAAAATAGTTACTGATTATTTAATTATTTTTTTTAAAGCTAGAGTTGCATTAAACCATTATTTAATTTTTATTTTTGTTACGTTAATCCTACCCGTCATAGCTTTACAAGCAAAACTGTTGTGCGGCATCTTTTATGGGAAGCATGGCAGAGAACAATTTCAGGACTGAAGGGAGAATTTGCATTGTAAAAGTACCTGAATATGCATTGGGATAACTTCTCTATTTCCTGTTGTGGAGGAGTTTGAACTGTATTTTTTTATTTTATAGTATTTTCTGGATAAATGCTTGTTCTGTGAGTAAGTAGAGGACTCCAATCTGGTAATCCTACGCCTTTCATGAGCACTAACATTCACTAGAAAAAAAAGAAGGAGTTAGTCAACGATTTTCTGCTATAAATTCCTTTACATTCGGGAGCTCAGTAGAAAAAACTATTTTAAGAGAACTTTGCCATGCTGTTGATCACTTCTTGCTCTTATTGGTTGACTGTTTTTTAACGTATGTTGTTTATTTTTACTAACACCCCTAGAAGCCTTCAGGGAATATTGAGTGTCACAGAGTGATAAAGTTAATGTTTACTGAGTCCTTAAAACAAGAAGGGAGTGGCTGCTTATTTAATGGGGATCTAAATTAGTGTTTTGGGGAATACAGAATACTGTAATATAGTCAGATGATATTTTAAGCTATACTCTGGATGGTAGTTGCTTTTCTTTAATGAAAAAGAAAATTGCAAAGAAAAGACTGTGAAGTGTATTTCTGCAATGTTCTTGTTCTTATCTACCTCACTTAAGGTCATGACAGTTTTAAAACAGTGTCTTTATAATCCTGAAGCGCTAACTATTGAGATGGAAAAATCAATGCTACTGAGTTTTTAATATTACAGGCCAAATTTGTATTGAATTTTATTTTGCACGTCATTAATATTGCAGTCACATAGCTACAGCTAGAATAATCTTCTTAAGATTCATCCTCTGTGGTTTTCAGCCTTTCCACAGCGATATGAATATATATGCTATTCCTAGTTTACTTGCTTTTTCATTTATTTATTTATTTTTCATCCTCTCAGGGCTTGAGTTCAATGAAGTAAGTAAAAATGTTGCCTGTGTGTGTGGTGTTTTTTTTTGATTATTTCCTGAACATATCTTCTCATCTCAAAATACCTGTTATTATATGACAGCAATAGGAACATAAATGTGATACAAGCAAGAAAGCAGTAAATCTTGTGTTATTTACTTCACAGGTAATTTTATGTTTGAATAAATGTTTGCCTATTCATACTAGAGCTTTAGTGCTGGAGCTCTGGTGGTCATGTTTTCATGCAGAAAAAGAGTAAGTTGCCTTTTTATTCTGTGTACTTATTTGACATATTACTACCGTAATTTAGATCTTTGTTATAACAGTTCTGTTAGTAGAACTTGTCTGTTCTTACTTTTCAGCACTACTGGCTTTATTTTACTATTGCATTTTTAACTAAATGTGCTCTAACAGCAATTTCTAATAACTGTTGATGTGACTTACTTCTTGAGGTCTTGATGAACTGAAAGTTAACAAAAACTCCTTTTTGCTAATCTTGAGTTTTCTTTCATAGGGGGTCTATGAAGTTGTTAAATTTCTTTTCTTTTTTTTCTGCATAAGTAAATTTGGTTAGGTTTTCTTTTTGCATTTACTTTATTTTCATATTTTCAGATGTGATGTTAATGGGAGATTTGTAAATGTGTGCCTCTAATTTGATGTAGAATACATGTTTAGCTAAATGGCATTTGCATGTAATATATTTTATTTTTTAGATAATATACAAATAGTTTGTAATTGCACTTTTCTTTTTGTATTTTTTAACCTTAGGTTGTGGCTTTTTTTTTTGCCTTGCATGGAGAGATTAAACTGCTAGTGAAAGAATTGAAATACCATGCTTTATTACTTTATGTAAATTAATTGTGCATCCTTTTAGAGGTAGTAGTAGAAGTAGCATTCCTTAGTAAAGCTGATATTCTTTATTAAGCTAACGATATATTGGTCTACTTTCATAAAGCCACAAAATACAAATCTAAGAAATACATTTCCAAAGCTCTTTTTGGAGGAATGGTTCTGCAAATGGACATTCTTAACATGAGTTTAATCTCTTTTCTGTGTACAAATGTTTACAGGCTTTTTTCTCGTCTTAGACTTCATGTAATAACTGATTCTGAAACTGTCGTGTACAGTGGCAGGGGGCCTGCAGCACTTTGGAGTCCCCGTGGGACTCTGCACTGTGCAGATGTCTGGTCCCTCCCAGAATATTGGTTTGGGATTGTGGTGTGCTGTACCAAGGTTGGACCCTTGTTTTGGAAATGAGCGCTTTTTAAAAATAGGAAGCTCTTCAGGTGTGGATGGTGTCACTTAGATATGTGTGCAGTTGAGCATACTAATGGCATTTCATTGAAATCTGTGTAATATTCTGTAATTTGGATATCACACTGTCTTTGAAATATAACGGAAACATGCGTCTGGCTTCTTCTTACATACATTAGTAGCCTTTGCCACCTTCTTTTATTATGTTGAAGCTGGCTGGAATGCTTGTCAATGCAAATCCACGAACACTGTCAGCATGCATTGATTTTAAAAGTGCTTAACTGTATTATGTACTTCTGGTTTCACATCAAGTTTTTGGCCTTTTACAATGTCAACTTAATTTGATACTGTTCTATTTTAGACGTCCTTAGCCACACGTTTTGCTCAAGAAACTTTTGGAAAACAGTACAAACAAACTGTAGGACTGGACTTCTTCTTGAAAAGGATAACATTGCCAGGTAAGAGAATAAAGAATATACGACTGAAAGGTTGGGCAGCAGTAATTCTTGCAAAAACTTAGTCTTCAAAGTAAAGTACACTAAATAAGCTTACTACAGTGCTTTTTATGACAAAGTAGATTACGTTATTAAGAGAAAATTTTCTTAGTATGCTCTTACCCGGTGACAAGGGGTTATATATTTGCAACTTTTATCTTTAAGTACTTTAGTAAAACATTGAATTCAAGTAAGAGCAGTGTTAGCTATATTCATAATTGTTAAGCATGCTGTTTGTCCGTGTGGGTAATGTGACATATAACAAAGAAATAAAACTTTAAATATATTTGTTGAAAAAATGCATGCTTTTTGAAAGAAACAAAATTTTTAAACAAAATACACAACTGGCATTTGGGTTGTGTGGAGAAGGATAATGTAGCTATGGAATCGCAGTGCTCTAATATGTGAATGCTGTTTTATGCAAGGCAGCATGAAATTGCTGGCATTTAATAGACCACTAAAATTTAGGGTCCCTCGGCACTCATAAAAATACAGTTTGAGCATTCAAGATGTTTCATTTCACGACGGCAAAGAAACTATTTAGATGCCAGTTGCGGCAAACTGCATGGAAAATGCAAAGAAATAATTAAAAAAGAATAGCTGCTGCTAGAAGTTTTTTTTTCTGAACAATTGGAAGTTTAAAGTGAGATTTTTTTTTTTCATTGATCTGTGGTTTCTCAATTTGTAAGCATGAAAGTATTTCATGGTTGCTCAATTTGTAAGCATGAGAGTGTTTCATTAGAAGCAATTTACTCTGGTTTCAGAGACCAAAGCAGGGAAACGTATTTAATAACATTGTAGTGAAGCTTGATAAAGTTGATGCAAGTTCTATCTCTTTGGGGGGGAGGGAGGATGCAAAACCAGAAATTAAATACATTAACTATAACCTGAAGTCATAAGAAAATATGCTAAGATTTTTGAAATTATTGTGCAAGGCTGAGATTACTAATTTCTTGATTATGCTTATATTTTTTCTTAAGTGAAACCAAATGCAGGAATACTCTGAAAAGATTATTCTGTTTTTTGTCTCTGACACTTCACTGTACTCTTTTTTTGTATCTGGTGAGAGTAAAATACCAAATTCAGTGCTTATTTATCCATAAAACCAATAGAATAATTTTTATTGTTCTGTTTGTTCCTCCTAAAAATATCAGGACATACAATACTTGTAGCAGTACTTGAAAGTGGAATGTGTACACAAATCATGCAGTATGCATGTTGAGAGCTTGTATTTTTGCAAGATTTTTTTCCAGCTGTTAAGCGTACAAAGACTATTAGTACATTATTGGGACTCTAGATATTCTTATTGTGTATAAAATTTGGCAAAGCATCAACTTCTAACCCATTCATATTTTACTCAGGTCTAGTTTGTTTTGTGACAGCATGAGAATGAAAGTAGCCCTAAAACAGCGCAGTAGTCTGTGCATCTGTCTTCCACGTTTATCATTGACAAAATAGTAACATTCATGCAGTGTGTTCGTATTCAGGAAGAAGTATTTTTTTTCTATGGATTATCATTATGTCTTTGCTTATGGCTGTATATGTATTTGGGTAACTAGACTTGTGTGTTTTATGGGAAAGTTGGACTTGCAGTGGTAGGGGAATGAGAGGAAAGGAAGAGAACAAGGATGGCTTGCTTTACTTAAGTAAATGGATTTTTCTCATTTCTTGATTAGTTCTGGGTTTGCAAAGTTGCTGTGTTTACTTGAAAGGTTAATTTATGCCACTGAACAGAAGTCACAATGTGCACATCAGTAGGAAAAAATAGCCTTGATTTCTATTATTTAGTGGGAGAGTTGACAGATAACAATTATTACAGTATTTCAAATTGTTTTTTTCCTTTAAATATAAGCAAACGTTACAGAAGTTGAAATTACCAATTTTTAGAATTGCACAGAAGTTTACATTAGGATGTGCATTAGAAATATGTTTGAACTTGTAAAATAAAGTACTAATTTTATTTTTTTTAATAAAAGCTCTAATTGTCTTCAGATATTTTTTAGTAACTGATGCAGTTCTACAGTAAAAAAGCCAAATTTTTTGCATGGAGAACAATGCTGTTTGTATTAAACAGTAAATCCTTTGACTAATTTAATTGTGAACGATATGACTTCTAGTGCTCAACTGCTTACAAGTTCCCTTCTTACAGTTTGTATTTGGAAAAAAAATACTTTGAACAAATCAATGTCCAAATCAATGTCAGTATATTTTGTAATTCTGTATGCTGTATAGTCTGGATGCAACCACTGTGCAGGCTTCACTGTTTAAAATAGTGTATCTGTTATTCAGAGGTTTGGTTGATAGAGATTCTTAGGAACCATAGTCAAAATACTTTTAGGAAGGCTGTGGGTGAAGTCTGGTAAACAGGGTTCTTCTGTGAAAAGGATATATTTTTTATTTTTTTTCCCCCAAGTCTTCAGTACAAGAAGCAGGCAGTCCTGTGTTTTTTGACTGACTGTGCAGCACTTTGAGTAAGGTTAACCAATGTACCAAGCATACTTTTACAGGGTCACTGTTGAATCAGCCCAGTGGCTTCAGTTCAGGCCAGAAACAATCCAGATACCTGCACAGTGTTTCCACGCTTATTTTAACTTCTCACTTGTATGCATTTCCTACAGTGTAAAATGCTTACATTTTCTGGTTCCTTATCAGTGTATTGAATACTATTTTTCTGGGATTCTTCAGTTATTGTTTATTGGTATGCTAACTTTGTTTCTAAGAACTGTCTTATTTCATGTATAGGTACTTCTTGTTTTAATAACGTTCTCCAGTTAGCGTTTCTTCTAAATCTGTCAACAAATAGGGGATTTGAGACTTTTTGCAGAAAGTACAGCTTCATGGATTACTATCATAGTTGTTAGTTAAATATTCGTTAGACAGATTGTCTGGGGTTATTCCTTCTGTCAGAGTTCAGAGTAATCCTAGTGTCCCCCGTCCCCCTCCCAAGAAAATGACAGAAATGTTCCCCCCCCCGCTATGGATGACCAGCATGATTTTCACTAGCTACTGTGGTCTTTTAATTAAGAGTCATTTCAGCTTAAAAGAACTTCCCAGCTTTTTTTCTGCCTTTTTCATCTGGTGTTAGTAGAAAAAAGTAAGTAAGTGATAATCATAGATTTTAAGGTGAGGAGTCACGGTTAGATCATTTAACCTCCTGTAATAAAGTTTCTAAGATAATTTCATGCATTCATCCAGGTACTAAGCCCGGTATGTTGTACATGATTACTACTCTGGGGGAGGGAGCAGGGAGAAGTTAGGAACTTACGAAAGCAAACACGAAATTAGACATCTGAAAAATGTTGAATTTGAAAGCTATAATATTTACAAAGCTTATTTCCACATAGCTGGTATGAACGATGTGGTAAATTTCCAATAGAATGCACACAACCAAGTTAGGTGTAGAATACTGCAGCCTGGTGGGCTTCTGAGTCTATTTGGTTTGTTTGCCCACTGAAGAAGCATAGTCATTTCAGAGTGCTGATTCACGAGTTCATTCATACTAGATGATTTATAGTGGTCTTACTGGAAGACTTACCTGTGTTGTTTACAGTCACTTATGTCCTAAGCTTTAAAATAATCAATTAATAAATACTGGACTCATTGTCAAAACAAATCAGCTTCTTGTTCTGTGAGAGGTTAAATTTGCTGAACAGGATTGTTTATGATGTGTTTACTAAGTTCCGTTTAAAATTCTTTATCTTTAATATTTGATAAAACTCAATTTAGTTTAAAGAGTATTCTGAATAGATTGTCTCATTTAATCCTTATGTATTTGAGACCAAAGTATCAATTTAGGGATAAGCACTTTTAACATGAATAAAACAAGATGCATCATAAAAATGTAATGTGGTTATACTTAACACCACAAGTAGCATATATTCAGCTGTATAGTTGTGATTTATTATTTATATTAACTAACTGCCAGGATATATGCACTCACTTGCGTAACTGCAATGCACAAGGAAGTTAGTTATAAATTGATGACTGAATAGATCACACTGTGTAAAGTAAGGTTGTTCATAACATAAAATAGATAGATTAATTTAAGAGCAAATTTTTCTTAGCAACCCATAGTAATATTTTGTTCTCTTTCACTTGTCTCTCAAATGTTGTGATGGCAGCTTTATGTGTGTGTGTGTGTATACACACACACATAAACAAATATATAATGTGCATGTTTATCTAGGATAAAATACATAGGTAGCTGTAGTTTTGTTGGTTTTGATTTTTTTTTTTTTTTTGGGTTGTTAGTATAGAGAATTGTTATTAACCTGCGAGTTTTATACACGTTAGAAAAACTTTCATCAGACCCTACTGTGTTAGACTCTAGTGCTTCCAGGTAATCAGTATGGTTTTGAAAACGGTTCTGACCATGTGAGATGAATCAAATGATACCTTCTGATATGTTTTTGGGGTGTGGTAACGTAGGTTGCTGTGTGCATACCTTTGGTCTGTGAGTTTCTGTTTTGTTAGCTTGCAGAATGTGTGTGACTTGTAGGATACTAAATATCCTACAGTAATTACAATGATTTTTTTGTTGGTCATGTTTTTGACAAACTGTTAATAAGAAACAAAACTTTAATATCAGTTTCAAAGACTGTTTAGAGATTTACATTGAAAGGAAGATCTGTTCTTGATTTAGAAATAAGTTACTGGAGGATGAAATTACGTAAATCAAGTCAGGCTTGGTTACCTGCTTTGCTCAGGGTGATGGGAAGAAGAAATAAGAGTCATAGTTTACCTGAAAGTCACAATTGCTACTGAAAGTAGACTAGTGTGAGCATTTCCATTCTAATCTGTCAACTGTATAATTCTGTAATTTTATGGTAACACTAAGAGCATCACTGCCAATAAAATTTTATTCTCTACATTTTCCTCCTTTTATATTTGTGAGGAGAATAAAAAAAGGACATAGAGAATAAAATGTAATTGCTATGAAATATTAGGTTGATATTACTATGAGTTAAAGACAATGTATATTATTGTGCTGCTAAAACTTTCCTTCTGTAAAAATGCTGTATAATTTGTAGCTAGCAATGTTATGCTTTATGCAATCTAATTTTTTTTCTCTGAAATTACTATACTGGGTTCTTTATCTACAGTTTTACTGCTTCTTAATGAGCATAGCTGGACACAGGTGACTTTCTTCCAAATGCTTTAGTAATCTTTGTGTTTAGATATGGTTACTATTTATTGTATACTTTAAAAAGCTATTGCAGTTGATATGCTAAAGCTGTATTACCAGCTGTGATAATATATCTTTAATGTTATTTGTATCTAAATTTTCAGGTTACTAATGTCAAAGAAAACATCTGTATCTTTTCTCCTTTTTTTTTTTTCCCTCCCTCCAGGAAATCTGAATGTTACTCTTCAAGTGTGGGATATAGGGGGGCAAACAATAGGAGGCAAGATGCTGGATAAATATATCTATGGAGCTCAGGTACAGTATAAATGATGATAATTTTATCTAAGTAATGAAATAGAATTCATTGGAACTTTGCTGTCAAAATTAAACTTATCTTGCAGGATATATGTATTTTTAAAGATCTCAGTGCTGAATATCTACTTAACCTAAACTTAACTGATAGTAATATGCAATTCTTAATAGGGGACGTAGTTAGTTTTTTTTTTGATTTGCCTTGGTTTAAAAAGCAAAATAAAGGTGCTCATTTGTAGATCCTAACAACGTTTGAAACAGATGTCTGTTTCCATGCTTTGTGTCTTGAGTTGAGAAAAGCAATCATAGTAAATAGTAAAAGCTATTTGGATATCCACGTGGTAGATATAGTGGCTGCTTTGAGAGCAGATACCTCCTGGGGGGAAGCAGTAGAAGGAGGAAATTAAGAGCAATCCTACACCATTAAACTCATGCATGCAATTGGCATTATAAGAAGGCAAACAAAAGGAGGCAACCAGGTAGCTAAATATTTTTGCAGAACTCCTATCCAATGAAAATTAAATTTATCTAGAGGTTGACTAAGTGACTTAAAGTGAATGGTAGGATTAAGTATGAGATAAATATTATAACACTATCTTGAGCTATGAGATGGTTTGGGATGATGTACATCTGCCATACTCTTTAACATGAATGATCATAAGATGTATTCTCTTCTTTAATTTGGAATTTGTAATTGGCACATTTTACAGATTTATCTGAAAAGAAAACAAGTGTATCTGTGTGTGTGTGTTTTTCATTACGTTAAGCAGTAAGAATACGGGAATCCTAAAACTTATGTTGGATAGAAACTTTGTTCTAATAAGTATAGTGCAGGAATGGCTAATTAGAGATTAGGATTTATTAGCTGACAGGCTAAAGATGAACTTGTCAGTTTCACATTTGGCACTTTCAAAAAATATCTGAATGCTTTTAGCTGTTGCATTTGTTTTATAGCATTTTCTTATTTTTTTAATAAAAAAGATTTTGCTGTCCTGTGAAAGATCTAGCAAGCAACAGGATAAACTGGCTTCCATGACAGAGGGAATTAAATTAATCACAAATTTCACCATATATACAAAGTAGACTCTATGAAAGACATGAAAGGCAATTAACTTTTCCTGCATTACGCTTGAAAAGAAATTCCTAAGTTTATCATCAACAATTGTAGGTCAAAAAATTAATACCAGTGCCGCAAGGTAGGTTCATATCAGTAAGCCTAAAGTTACAGTAATCAGATTTCTAGTCATTTTGAGCAAATCAACAAAAGAGTCCACATCCAATCTCTTGAACCTCCTCCCGCCCTCTACTTCTTTTTTTAAATGAACTAGTGGCTCTTCTCCCTCCCCTCCTTGGCCTGTGACACCAATGTCTGTAATAGGCTTCTTATCCTCAGAGCTGATTTTGAATACACTTTTGTATTAGCATTGTAACACTATTTCTTAAGGACAGGTAAAACTATCTTCATCTATTTATGAAAAATCACTGTGAATAATTCTGAAAGGTACTGTATTCGGTTTATTTCCAGGCTGAAGTTTATTTCATGTTGAGCATCTGTAGCTTTGTGGAAGAAAAAGAGGAAAGGTAAAATAGTGCAAATAGGAGTATTTAGAAGGAAAAAATCTTAAGTACATAGAAAAACTTCTGTGCATGAGCAGCAAAGTGGCAAAAACATGACTGGGAAGAGCCAGTAAGGCTGGATTTAGCATGGGTAAATTGTGCCCAACCAACCAGGTTGTCTTAAGTGAAGAGGTGACTGGCTCCTTGGAGGAGAGAGCAGTGGATGCTGTCTACCTGGCCTTTAACTAGCCTTTTGTCATCTCCTGTAGTAGTCTTGCAGACGGACTGGGGAGATGTTGACTGGATGAGTGACTGAAAAACTGGATTGACAGTTGGACTTAGCTAAATGTCTTACTTGCCTGGTAATGAGTGCCTGGCTCTGAGTGGTATTCCTTAGTGGTCAGTCCTATTTCATGTCTTTGTTAATGGTCTGAACAATGAACAAAACATATTGCAAGTTTGCAGATAACACCGAACTGGGAGCGAACGGTCAGTGCTGCTATTGAAAGAAGCCATGGCAAACTAAGGAATATGCTGAAGGAAGTTCAGTGAAAGCAAATGCAAAGCCCTGAAGCTGAGACAGAATAACAGCATGATAGAGATGGATGATCTAGATGACTTCCAGGGTCTCTTCCAACTTGAATTACGATATTAAAAGTAAAAGATTGGATAAATACAGCAGTCTGCTTGTATCGCTGCAGTCCTTAAGTGAAGCTGTCATGTTTTTGTACAAAGTTTCTAGGAAATAAGTATGTGTACCTATGGTGTGTAGCACCTAGGGTACAGCTGGGATTTTAAATATGCTATTTTTAATGTATACAAGCCATATACCTGTAGAGTGGATGATTTGGATCTGCTGCATGTTTTAAGTTGATCTGCATGTATTGTCTAAATCTAAATTTGAATCGTAAAGTACTTGTGTAGAATACTATGCAGTGTGCCTGCAGTACACATGACGCTTTTACCCAGTATTTACAGGCGTCCATAGGCAGACTGGAATTGCTGCTCTTCATCTCACTGATCATCTGGAGATTCAGAAATCGCTAGTGGCCAAATTCTTGATTTTCTGCTCAGAAATCTACATGTATGGTAGACCTACTTATAAAACAATAGACCAGCTGGAGTTGGAAGTTTTGAGAATCTACAACTGAAAATATAATCTTGATACAGAGTCTACAGCTTATTTGATCTCTGAAACGTGATCAGGATACCAGGTGGAATTAAGTGGTGGATCTGTCTATACTTTATATTGCAAAACTTGCCACTGGAGGCTCCTTTCTCTTTGAATCAGACCTGAATCGATTCTTGAGGATAAACTTTTGGTTAAGTTACTGCTAAGGTGCCATTTTTTGACTAAGCTTTCCTATGTCATGTTTTAAGAAACAAGTGTCAGACTTGAGGATGAGGAACCACTTGATTTGCTTGTGTGGCTGCAGCTGGAGAAATTGCAATTCACTTGCTGTTGTTGAAACAGTTTTTTTCCCCTCAGTGTTGGGAGAAAAAACCAAAACAAAAAACCAAAACCAAGGAGATCATCTAGAAAAATATAGTTGCTGCATCCCACCGTGGTAGCTGAGCTTCACTGATGAATCAAAAGCATTCTGAAAGCTGAGGGGGAAGAAGAGCTCTTTGATCTTTATGAAGAGTAAGGTGCTAGTAAACAGCATTTTTTCAGTGGCAGTTAAAGTTGACACATTTATTTCAGAATTGGGGGGAGGCTAAGAATAATTGTATCAGCTGAGCTGATAGACAGTAGCCCATTAAGTCATGGCAACTGAACTGCATACAATTGAATGACCATATCCTCAGTTACTAAAGACAACAGTGGTTGAGTATATGTAGATTGTGAACTATTTTCTCCTGTAAAGATGGCTTATCTGCAGATGAATGAGGTATCGTAAGGAAGTTATTCTTCACTAAAAATGAGTATTTTGTGTCTAAAAAGCCTTCGTCTTCATAATTTTGGTCTAAAATATTTTATGAATATTAAGAAACTGTAAAAATCAATTTACTTTCTTCATATTAAAGTCAATCTTAGGATGGAGCCAGCTAAGGATAAAACCTGAGGAATAAAACTACATGTGCACTTCATTAGTGTTTTTTGTTGCTTTTTTATTGTGATAAACCTTGATGTAAACTTGACACCTTTTAAATATTGACTATCTAGTGTGAATATATTTCTTGGTTGAATAATATTGTTATGACGTTTCCCTAGTTGTAGTACTGCTGTATAATAGCAGTGCTGCTGTTTGCACGGTAAACGTATTTCAGAACTGTTCCCATCTCTTAGCTGTAATTGCTGCCCCTATCCACATATCTAAAGTATACTTAAGGGCTGGCATATGCTACCTCATAAATTGACTTGTTAATAGAATAAGAGTTCTGCAGACCGTGCCTTCTCTAGAGACCAGCAAATCATTTCTGCAGTATTCTCAGTTTCCAGTGGCCTATATTTGAAAATATTTTGTAATTCAGAAACAAAAAGCACTCACATATGCAGTAATGTAGGCAAAATGTCTCTATTACTAGAGTGCAATTATGCAAGCAGGGAATATTTGCCACATTGCTGGAGACTAGAGAATTAACATACTGTTCTCGGCATGTTGTCCTCCATATGTTTCAAACCCTTTTCATGGCAGGGAAATGTGCTACTTTTGTGTTACAAGGCCAGTGTTAATTTTCTGCCTTAGTTCCTCATGCATAATGGGGAAGTAACAGGTTTTATGCTTTCCACTCATTCTGTACTCAATAGACTGTAAGTTTGTGGAAAATATGATGTATTTTTGGTGAAAGCAAAGATGGAGTTTCTACTTTAAATAAAAAAGGAGAAATAAATTTTGACTGTGGCGTTATGGCTCGTTCTTCATTAATTATCTGCATCACAGTAAGTTTCTTAGATTTTGACACAACAGCACTCTATAAGCAGTAGAGTGACATAGATGCCGTGCTGCCCTTTTTTCGTATCTCTAAGGTGTTATAGCTGCCACCTTTGCCGTACTAGGATGGATTGCTCTGACATGAACTTGAGCAACCTGTTGGTGAAGTAGACATAGTGTAGTCTTATTGCAGTTATGCAATCTTGCATAACATCATGGCTGTTGTTACAGTTATCCTGAGCATGAATTGAAGTAATGTTCAAGAGGTGACAGTATTTGCAGCTGGTTTGGTTCAACTTTACAAAAATTTCGTGGTGTAGGTATCGGCATCTGATGCTGTGTTATTAAAGAAGAAACTGGGAGATCTGACAGTTTGGGAACAGTCTCTTGGTTCATGAGCAGAAAATGGTACAGGGAAGAGAAAAATCAGAAAAGGTAACTTACAACAACAGTATGGTACACAGACCAGAAGAAAGCAGGTCTGAGATGCAGAACCACTTAAGCCAGGGTTCAAGTGTTTCAGCTTCGTAAATCCAAGAAGTATTGAGAAGATTCAAAAAGAGAATGATCTAGAAAAGAATATACTTTAAGGCAGTGTTTTGGATCAAGCAGCAGGACGCAAAAAGGAAGTTGGGTGAGCCCTAGTTCAAAACGTTGTTCAAGAATTTTGTTCATGACAGTGCCAGCAGGAGAGCCCTTTCTTCCAAAGGTGTAGGTGGGCTGCACTTGGCTGGAGGGTCTGTAGCAAGGTAGCACTTTGAAGAGATAGTAGAGACAGAGCTGGCCAATATTAAGTGTCTTGGATTCTATTAACTTTGTTTCATCTGATTCTGATTAAACTTTAAAGCATCTTCAGCACTGCAAAATTTGCTCTGCCTTTCTGCAGACTGGTTTGCTATGCTTTTCTGCAAGCTGGTGAGTGGGCTGGACCACTGCTGAAAGAAGCATACCATGTGCCGTTTCTCATTTGCAACTTTCAGCCTTATGTCTGTTCTTTTAGTCTTTACCATACCTATTCTTCAGCTCCAGTTTCTTCTTTCCCACTGAACATCTCAAAACGTTATGCTTATGTTCTTCTTGGAACAAGGCTTATATTATAACAGACAAAAATAAACATGGAAGGGCATTTGGATGGTTATAAAAATGGTCAGTAGAAGATAAGCGAGACAGAAGATATTAAGGAATAAACTGTAGAAAAGTTGGAAGACGGTAGTGAGTGTTTAATATTGGATTTGATCACTGAAATAAAGGAGGAAAGAGAGCAAAGGAAAAGAAAGTGGATGTCAGAAGTCTTAAATTCCTTGGAGGAACTAATGAAAACTGTTCCTCAGGAAGTAGTGGATATAATTGTTTTTAGGAACAAGAAGCTCATTTTGCCAACAAGTTGATGGTATTGAAGGAAGAGATGGATTTTGTATTGCAGTCGTAGGGAAATAGGAATTGAAGAGATCTCAGTAGGATCTGTTCCCCTCTTCTGAAGCTATACCTGCATAATTTTTATCTCATGTTTATCAGCCTTTTAAAATTCTGCAGTTTTGGGAATTCTGCCACCTCCAAAGATATATTTCAGAGCTTTGCTATTCTCACTGTTTACATGCTTTCTCTAATATGTACTCTTCTCTCTATAATCTTCTCTCTGTAAATTAATCCTATTGCTGCTGTGATCAAGGAGACAAGCATCATAGGAAAATTCAGGTTGGAAGAGACCTCTGGAAGCCTCTAGTCCAACCTTCTGCTCAAAGCAGGGCCAGCTGTGAGATCAGACTTAAGTTGGTCAGGGCTTTATCCAGTCTGTTCTTGAAAACCTCTAAGGACAGAGAATACACAACCTCTCTGGGCAGCCTGTTTTTCCTAATTTCCAGTCTCGTTATCTCTTATTTTGGCTTATGCCCCTTGCATTTCATCCTCCTGCCGTGCAATGCTGTGAAGAGCCTGGCTCCATCTCCTCAATAGCCTCTTTGTGCGTATGAGAGGGCTACTATTACGTCCCCCAAAGCCATCTCTTCTGCATGCTGAACAAGCTTAGTTTCTTCAGCCTCTCCTCACAGGACAAGTGCTCTTACCATCTTGGTGGTCCTCCACTGAAGTTGTTCCAGTTTATCAATGTCTTGTGTATTGGAAGGGAGGGCGAGATGGGATGCATTATTCTAGATATGCTCTAGAGCATGCTGAGTAACGGGGGATAATTGTTTCTCTCCATACAGTGGCTGTGCTCATGCTAGTATAGCTCAGGGTGCTCCTGGCCTTCACTCCTGCTAGGGAACACTACTAGCTTGCGTTTGGCTTGCTGCCTGCCAAGACCCTCAGCTCATTTTCAGCTGCTCCTCAGCCAGTCAGTCCCCTCCAGCCTGTACTTGTATTCCTTCCCAGCTGCAGGACTTTGCGTTTGTCCTTGTTGAACGTCATAAGGTTCCTGCTGGCCTGTTCTTTCAGTGTGTCTAGGTACCTCTGAATGGTAAGTCCTGCCCTTGACCGTATTGACAGCTCCTCCCAATTTAGTGTTATCTGCAAACTGAGTATAAAAGCATACAGGAAGAGCTTCTGTTACCTTCTCTTGAAGCTTTTGCCAGCAGCATCATGCCTGCCATCAGTCTTGTGTTTGCTGAAACAGTCCAATTTTTTCAATTTTTGTATGTCAGTTACGCCTTTTTCTTGACAATCATTGCCCAAAGCTGAGTGCAATTTATCATCTGGGATTTTTCATTCCAGTCTGATATTTGTCTTTTTTTACTACAAAATAAGTTTGACTTGTATTCAGCTGTAGTCTACTATAACTCCTTGATCCTTTTCTATAGAACCTGCTACAAAGCCAGATGTTTCCTATCCTTGTGCAATTGATTATTGCTTCCTTTGAACTTTTCCTGGTACTTATTGAATTGCATCCTGTTATAGATTGTTTCTCCCATTTGGCCCAGATCATCTTATAATCTAAACTATTCTGGAATACTCTTGCAGTCTTTATCAGTGTGTCATCATCTGTGAAATTAATCTAATAAGCAGGCACTTGATTTCATGATCTGAGGTAATCATGAAACTATCAAGTGTATCAGACAAAGCTCTGAAAAAACTACTTGACATATTTTTTCACTTGACACTGAGCTATTGAATCAACTGATTTTGTATCCGTCATATTGTTTCTTTAGATTATTCTTGAAAATCTAACATTTGAGACAGTGTGTATTTCCAGAGTGTTTTTGTTTTTTTGATGTGAACTCCACGAGAGCAAGAACAACAGAAGCCAATTCTGACTGTATTCCTCGTTTACAAGATACTTGGTTTCTTAGGCTGTAGCAGAATGCAGGGAGGAGAGGGGATCAAGAGGAGAGTGATGTGTGAAAACTGATCTTAGATTTTAGAGAGGGGAGAAGATGGACAGATGGGCCATTGATAGGTTGTACTTAACAGTTGCCAGTACTTCTTTCTCGTCTCCTACAGCAGTAAAGGAAGGGAGCTGGCCTTTCACCTCCCAAGGGAGAGCAGAGAAGCAACAGTCAGGCAATATGAAAAAAAATTCAATTATACATTTCTTGTTTTTTCCTTTTTTTTTTTCTCCCAAAAAGGGAACTATAAACTGTAAACTACAAGTAAAGCTAGGTAAAATAGAAGTCCTCCTCCAGCTGATTTTTGTCTTCCTAAAAGTATGAAGTGCTTTTTTGAAATTTTCACAATGCATATGCGGTTTGGAATGTTTCTAATATAATTAATTGTGCTCTTTTGTGAATTGCCATTTTTTTCTCCCTTTGTAATTCAGTTAGCGTCTGAATTTGAAATACTACAGTAGTTCTCTGTATTCCATGTAAAATATGTTACCATAGAAGCTTATACTGACTCTTGCTTAATTATTCCTCAAAAGGTAAAATGCCATTGTTTGTAAGGCCCTGTTTTATTATAATAATCTAATCATTTTACAGTTTAACAATATTTTATAACCTGTCATGTTTTAAAAATATCTTTTCTTTAGGGTATTCTCTTGGTTTATGATATTACGAACTGCCAGAGCTTTGAAAATTTAGAAGACTGGTATAATGCGGTAAAGAAAGCAAATGAGGAATCGGAAACACAGCCACTCGTGGCCTTGGTTGGAAATAAAAGTAAGCTATTCATTTTTAAATATTAATTGGAATACTGAGAGTATTTAAAGAAATATCAAAGGGCATATATCTTTAGCAAAAGGAAACTGATTTGTCTATTTGTGTCTTGTGTGTTAAGCCTATGGTGGCCATGTTTAAATGACGTATTTGGGCGCACCTAAGGGTTCTGGTTCCTGGGCAGCCAGGCTGAGGGACTTGCTGGAGCATGCTTTGTTTAGGACGCAGCCTCTCTGTCTCTGTTTCTTTACTTGGAGAGCAGCACACAGAAGTGGAGAGGATCTCTCTCACCTGAGGTTGATATAGTTTCCGGATATAGCTGTGGCATGTATCTAGAATGGAGAACTGGGAAGCCTTCCTGTGCCCAATAACAGGTATATTGTATGCTTCTATACATCAAGGAGAACGATGTTTTTCTGCTGGATAGAGGCTGGTAAAATAAACTAACGGTATCTATTAGCATTAGGGATAGAATGAGTTTTCTTTTTTTTCTTTTCTTTTTTTTTTTTTTGCATACCGGTAATTTTGCAAATAATTAAAAACAATTAATTGATATCTGTTATTTAGCATTAGGCATAATATTTTGAGTTTTCTAGTAGGTTTGTTTTTGCATACAGTAATTTTACGCGTGAGGTTATTTATTCCTTGCTATTTTTCTGGGATTTTTTTTTTTACCTGTCCTGTTTTTGTCCATGTGAGTATGATATAATGCTTTTCTTTACTCCTGATCACCAAAATATACCACCTTAAACAAACATCCTCTGTTAGTTCTCTATTAAAGTTGAATACCAAATTCCCCTATTTCCAGTTAATAAATCTTCCAGAAAAGTCCTCATAGCATATCTGAGGTCTTGGTTCCAGGTCTCTTAACCTTTCTCTATTGAAGGTGATAGGAGTAAAATAAAGCAGCTTCAGAAATGGAGTTAAGTGATGGAAGCATTTTTTTTTAATAATTAGAATTAGAATTTATTTGAACAAGAAATTGCATAGTTTTTTTTCTTTTTTTACTTTCTCACATATTTGGTGTGTCTGTCACAACGTTGACATCATGGACAAATCTGAGGAAAGATCTTGTCTAGAAAGATACTATTATTTAAAAGCATTTAAAATAATATAGAAACAACACTTTAATTCAGAATGGTTAACTGTAGTGTTGCTGCCGCAGTGTTACAATTTTTTATGTTATTAATTATGAAAGGCTACTTTTTTCTGGGAAGAAAACAGAGAAGCTCTTAGAGTTACAATATATAAATAGCACTTCTGAAAGCATAACATAGACTGTGTTGTACTATGGTACACCAGAGCCAATAATACAGATTCTGTTGAAATTCAAATGAAAAATATTTTTCACTGATTTATATTTTACCCCCAAATTGGACTTCCTAACGGGAGTTACGAAGCATTTAGAGTAGGATATACATAAGTAATTTCTTTTGCTGGAATGACACCATATAGGCAGAAAACCAGGCACTGATTTCCATTTGCAGTTAAAAGAATGTTTTATCTCTGTTATATACCTTAAGTTTATGGGGGTTTTTTGACTCATATGCATGCGTGCAATTCATTAAAATCCAAGTAGTTCTTCAGGAGCATCTGCAAATAGAATAGGGATGCATTTCCAGACAGAAGACTGGCATATGGAAAAGGCTTTCATTTTGTGAAAACAGCGTCTGAAGGAACGATTTCCTTGCTGCTTGATTTTCTTTCAGAAGCTGTATATGAAGAAAAGCAAACTATGGCTTTTGTGTGATCCTAAGGACGTTTATTGCTGTTGCAAACATCGTGAGTTGCTTGGTGTCTCCCAAAAGAAGGCTTGCAGGGTTTCTTGCTTACAGTGGTCATTCTTTTGTTTTATTTTTATTTCAGTATGATAAAAATTAAGCTTTTAGAAATTCATTGCTTTTCTGGACTTTATAATAGGAGAACAACATCCGGGAGGCTTCCATGTCAATACTTTAAAGGCTTATGAGAGGTTACTATAGTCAGGCTCCTATTGTTACACAAATAGAAAACAAGGTAAGTGCTTACAGAGAAGCATTACGTTAATTCTTGCATATTATGAAAGGATAAAGCTACCACTGCTAACAGTTTATTCGGATGGGATCACTGTATTCAGAATAGGTCAACTTCTTTAGTCAGTAAGTGGTAAGACACTTGTGTAGAATGTAAGAGCAAGAGGTTTCAAGCTAGGAAAAGCCATTTCATAAACTTGTTTGACCTCGTGCGTGATACAGGGCAGATGTTTTCAGTCAGTAGTTTCTGTCTGAGGCCTGTACTTGGTTTTGAGCTATAGCATGTCTTTTAGAAAAATATGTAAAAATGTTCAATTAAAGACTAGAAACTTTTGTATCCACAGTCGGGTTACTCTTAACTTTTTCTGATAAAAATTTAAAAAAATTGGCAAGAATGCAGTTATTTTCATTCATGACACTTCATTACTTTGGAAAATTGGGCCTATATTTAAGTATTTGAATAAGAATTTAGAAGTCTACCTGTAACCATCCATTTTGAAACTCTTGGCCTAAAATTAGTGCTGCTCTTTTAAGTCTGCTGAGGTAGGGGTTATGCTCCCATTTGTCAGGATTTTCACTTACTAATATCACCTGCAAGAAAAGAGTTTTTTTCCCAATTTCAAGGAGAACACACATGGGATTTCTGTTACAGTGCTTTAGAAATAAGAACAAAACTATGATTAAAAAAAACGTGGCAGAAAGAAATGAGAAATATGTATTTCTTTACTATCAACTGTGGAAGACAGTACACATGAATTACAGCAGATGTAAATAATTTCCTCAGGTAATCTTGTCAGTGAAAACATAAATTGCTTCAAGATAACAGTAAATGATGTGTACTAGGTGTTAAATTGGCTATAATCATGCATGATTTATTAGTGTTTTGTTACATTAATTTGTAATCATCACAACTGTTAGGTTTATCACGTTTGGAGGAATTTCTTCAGTATTCTACCAGTCTTGAAGAAATTGTGCTGTTCAGTTGTGATTTAAATGAACCAGCACTAATTTTGACTCTTCCATTTTATTTTGCATTGCAATAGATTTAGAAGTATGAACACGGCAAGCTCCTGTGTGTCTGTTGAAAGGATGATAATAAACTTCACTGTGGTGGCAGTTTATTAAAATGTCCTGGTGTGATTGTAACAGATTAAAATTTGCTGCTCAAATGCTGAAATGTAATTAAAGAAATTTCTACATACAAAACTGCTACTTTATTTATTTTTTTTTTACTTCCGGAGTAGATAAAAGGAGAACCTGAATTGTTAAAAACAATTGGGAAAATATAAGAACTTTAGAGATGCGTCCCCCTTTGTGAAAGTAATATTTTTTGAAGATGGCTATTTGTCCTCCTGTGTGCTTAGTTTTATTTTTCACTCTTTCTTACTTCTTCACTTCCATACATCTTTCTCCACGGCTTGACCTACTGATTCTCTCAGAGTAGGAGCCAAGATCTTGCCCAGGCCTGCTTCCTGCACTTGTCTTGTTGTCACTTGAATCACTATCTTTTCATAGTTTTGTGTGTACATTTCTTCAGTAAACAACATATAGAATCATAAAACCTAAATTAGAATGTTTCTTTTTCAAATTAATCATAAGTCATGAGATTAAATCCTAAAATTTGATGCTGAGTCTTAAATTTAACTTTCCTTATAACTTTCTGTAACTTACTTTCCAATATTTTAATCTTATTTAATACAAAGTATATATGAAATATGCTTATTTATATGTTGCTATATACCACTTCAGTTGCACCAGGAATAATGGTATAAACTTTGTTGTTGAAAATAAAAAGTGCTTTGGAGTTTCAGTATAGTAAATTAAAACTTTTATGGATATTGTACTGTTGAATACTTTGACGTGTAGTTTTGCGTAGTATGAATTAAGGTCTACTTATCAAATGAATGAAGTATATTTTGTGCCCTTAGGATCTTTGCTTAAACTTTTGATATTGATTTGAATTTCTGTCATTTGCGATGGATTGTCTAGCCATTTGTGTGAATGAGAGGGGTTTTACTGTGCTTTATATGAATGATGTGTTTCGTTCCTTTCTGCCTTGACTAGTTCTTTGTATATTTTCCTCTGCACTAATCTATAACCAGACTCCTCAAGTGTCCTACCAACATTTTCAGTGGATATATTGTAAACAAAAATTAACCCAGGTTGCATGGGAGCTACACGCTTTTTGATTTATAGCTACCTAGATGGTCTCAGGGCAGTGGTTATCTGTAACTTATATAGGGGGTAGGAATTATCAGGTACCAGTGTATAGTGGATGGATGAATGATTTCTATTCTTAGAGATACTAACCAGATCCACTCCTCAATAAAGACTAATAACTCAGATTTTTAAACAGTCTTCATGACAGATGAGGGCACGGAGGAGAGTGCATCAACACTAATTAAGAATCTTGACCGTTTGTTCGTCTTAGCCGTGATTAATTGATCTTGGAGTGCTGTCTCTGAACAGGAAGTGATATGCTGTTATATTGTGAAGTTTAAAGGTTACATTTTAGTGTACCCTTTAACTTGCATTTACATGTGATGTTAAATCTTTTTAGCTATCTTATCTGACCACAGAAAGAAACATTTTCCAGCCCACATATGAATGAATGTTTGGCGTACAGTGTACTAATGTGAATCCGGCCTTTAATAGGGCCTATCCAGTCTGCTTTTGGACCATATTACTGTCCTAGCTACTTAGCCTCCCCATTTGTACTAGGAATATTTGCTCAAGAGTACTCTGTTTGAGACTCTGGTTTATTAAAATTCAGAACTACACGTTCACTTGTGCCTCTTGCCCTCCCCCAGCTGTTTTCTGTTCTTGTTTCCTATGGGCTTACACTGGTTAGGACCTTCACCTGTAATTAAAACAAGTGTAGAGCAGCCTAAGCAAAGGCCCTGTTACTTTGAGTCTTTTGCCTGATTAAACTATAATTCCAGTATGCCTGACAGCAGGACCAGCCACCTGAGCCTCACACATGCTCCTGGG